ACACAACCACACAGGTCAAGAGGGGAGGGGAACTCATCAACCCCAGGCCTGCCGGCAAAGCAGTGGTTGATCTGCAGCTCACCAGATGTTGCCAATGATTAGATTTGATAGAAATTCTGTGAAAGAAGGTAGACTTTATAGCAACATTGATTGATTGATACCATCCTTAACTTACATTCACATAGGCCTGGCCTTTTGTCCTTTGCTGCATTGTATTATTTGTTTTGAGGGAGCCCAAGATATGGGGTAATATAAATTCGGAACATCTTGGTAAGGGCTGAAAACGTATAGAACTTATGAGAAAGAAAGAAATGAGAAATACATAAGATGGATTTGATGGTTATGCAGATGTATGGAGAGCTACACCTAAGAACTAGTTATGTAACTTTCTTGGACCAATTCTAAGATGGAGTCAACCACTGTGGATAAGCAACAACCAGATGACTTGATTTCAAAAGATGTTAACTTGAAGCCTGGGGATCATGATCAAGAACTTGACATGTTTAAGAAAGGATCTACATTTGCTGCTTTGCTGTTATATACCTGGTTTTCTCCTCTTTGTTCACCACTTTTTGCCTAATCATCTTCTAATTTGTCAGTCAATAAGTTGACAACTGCATCCTTGTAAATTATAGTCTGTGTTTATCTTTTGAAACAATGTTCATTTAAGAACTCATTAACTAATTTCCATAAAACATTTATTATTATTTTCTTGAATGAATTACACACAAATTAATGTTAAGCAAAACATTTAACTGCAATTTTGCTTTTCTGTGGGTTTATTACTATAATTTGCTAAAAGGGAAATTTAGCTGGGGGTTTCCAGTTAGCCTAAAAAATAGCATTATAAAGGGCTTTAGGAATTGATAATAGGTTTCCCTGGCTGCAGCCCTAGCAACATACTTGGCACTTATTCAGATCCTGATAAGGTTGCACTTACACAGAGGTGGGTTCCTACCAGTTCGCACCTATTCGGTAGAACCAGTTCGTCAAATCTACCGAACCGGTTAGAAGAGGTTCCACCAGTGGACCCG